GAGGGCACTGTCTGTTTATTAACTGCTCTGTCCCCCTGTCCTGCCACCTTCAGTGATCTGTGACATATACCCCCAGCTCCCCCTGCCCCGCAGCCCCTTTGGAATTATACCTTCTATTTTATATTGTCTCTCAATGTTCTTCTGACCATGATCCTCAGACAGCATCTTCCAAACCCACGACCACTTCCATCCAGAAGGACAAGGGCAGCAGATACATGAGAACGCCACCCCCTGCAAGTTCCCCTCCAAGTCACTCACTATCCTGACTTGGAAACATATTGCTGTTCCTTCAGTGTTGCTGGGTCAAAATCCTGGAATTCTCTCCTTAAGGGAACTTTGGGTCTACCTGCATGCAGCAGTTCAAGAAGGCAGCTCACCATCACCTTCTCAAGGGGCAACTAGGGACGGGCAAGAAATCTTGGCTCAACCAGCGACGCCCAGGTCCCATAAATGAAAATAAAACTATCAAACACTTCTGGAAAACCATGTACACCACGCCCACAGTGTGACTCTAATTGAGCCTGTTTGTTACTTCTTCAACAAGCTCCAGCAAAGTTAGTTAAACACAATTCTGCCATAAGATTCAGTCTGATTTTCCCTAGTTCATCTGCATGTATCTGTGTGACTGTTAATTTTGCTCTAAATGCTTGGTAATGAAGAAGGCCATCAGTGCTTTGTATTCTTTGCGTTTTTTTTAAAACAACAGAGTCTCGTTTGTTTGGCTCCAAGCCATTGGCCCTGGATCTGAATCAAAGAAAAACTGAAACTTGAAAATCCCATGAAGTACTGAACTGTTCCCAGCTCAGTCCCTTCACACACTGTCCCTACCCCAGCTCAGGATCAATAAGGACTATTTCAGTCTGATCTCACGCTGAATCTGTTCCAGATTGTGGCTGTTAGCATCAGACAGTTCAATCTGGAGAAACAACTTCTCAACACACACAACAACAACTTCTCAACACACACAACAACAACTTTTCAACACACACAACAACAACTTCTCAACATTGCCTATGGAAGATATCTGAGGTATCTGTCTGAATGAGACCATTACCTTCTGTTCCTGTAATTGTGCTTTCAGTACCTCCAGCTCAGAGGAGGGAGGCCTCTGATTGGCTGTCACATCTTCAATGTCATTGATCCAACTTTCCAAATCATCATCAACAAGTCCTGAGGCCAATGGAGGGCTAGCTTGGCCAGGGTCCTGGTGAAGAGAAGAAAATTTTTCAAGACATTCAGAGGCGGTCCAAGAGAGACAGAAAATGAATCATGGAATCCCTTTGTGTGGAAGCAGGTAATTTGGCCCATCGAGTCCACACCAACACTCCAAACAGCATCCCACCCAGACCCACCTAACCTATCCCTTTAACCCTGCATTTGCAATGCACATACCTGGACAATTTACCATGGTCAATCCATCTAACCTGCAGATCTTTGGACTGTGGGAGGAAACTCACGCAGATAGTCACCTGAGGCTGGAATTGAACCCAGGTCCCTGCCATTGTGAGGCAGCAGGGCTAACCACTAAGCCACCTGCGACAGGAACACAGAGAGGAATAGTGGAAGATTGACAGAGATAGTTGGGTGAAAAAAACTGAAAGCAATGGAGTGAAAGTGTAGGGGCGGAAAGAGAAAGAGAGAGAAATGGACAAAGGGAGAGAGAGAATGTGAAGGAGTGATAGTGAAAGAGTTTATTGTGAATTCCTCATCAGTAATATCTCTCTCTAATGATTGACAAAGACATCCTAGACTCACTGTCTGACAGATCTTGGTAATAGTTTCACAGCTCACCCAATTCATTTAAAACTGACCCAATCACACAGAGTTCACAGGAGTGACGGTGGATCTCTCTGATTTCTCCAGAGAGAATACAAGGTAACGGCTTTCCTTACTTTCCCAGTCAGTTGGAGCTTGTTCTTCTCAAGTTGTAAGTTTCTTGGCTCTGTTGCCTCTTGTCTACATTCTCCAGGAGATTCCAAACCCTCCTGATGTACAACAGAAAAGTGATTAGCAGCCACATAGAATTCCTATGGTACTGAAAGACACCATTTGGCCCATCAAGTCTGTACCAACCATCCAATGAACCTCTGACCCAGACCCACACTATCCTTGTAACCCTGTATTTTCCATAACGAACCCACCTAGCCTGCACACCCTAGACATTGTGGGGCAATTTGGCATAGTCCATCCACCTCACTTGCACATCTTGGACTGTGGGAGGAATCCAGAGCACCCAGAGGAAACCCACGCAGACACACGGAGAACAGCAAGCCCCACATAGACAGTCACTGTGGTTGGAATCAAACCCAGATACCTGGCGCTGTGGGACAGATTAGCTAACCACTGAGCCACTGTGCTGCCCACAGGATAAGACGAACCCAATAACACACCCTCCCCACGTCCAACAGTCTCTCCCCATGTCCAATCGCCTCTCGCTAAGCCCAATCTCCTCTCCCCACACCCACTCCTCACGCTCAATCCCCTCTCCCCATGCCCAAACCCCTCTCGCTAAGCCCAATCTCCTCTCCCCACACCCACTCCCACTCCCACTCCCCACGCCCAATCCCCTCTCCCCACACCCAAACCCTCTCCCCATGTCCAATCCCCTCTCCCCATGCACCAGGCCACCAGGTAAGTGATGGGTGGGGCTAATTAGGGTGCTGGATGAACTTAGTTCAGGGAGACAAGGCTGAGATATTAAAATAAAGACCCTGCATCTGCTTTCATTGGGGAAGAGAAAGCTGCAATTGTGGTTTAAAGGAGGGGAAATATCAACATGGATTGAAACAAGAAGTAAGGTTTGATCAGAAATGTCTTGTTCTATGGTTGGCCCACAGTCCAAAGTTGTGCAGGTTAGGTGGATTGGCCATGCTAAGTTGGCCGTAGTGTGCAGGGATGTGGAGATTTGGTTGGTTATAGGGGCTTGGCTCAGCGTGGGCTTGTTGGGCCAAATGACATTAGTGACATTCTATGACATTCGTGAACCAGATGCCACATTGAGATTCAAACCCATGTCCCAGAACACGAACGTGGGGGTTTCTGGATGATTAACCCGGTGGCAGTACCACTATGCCACTGCATTCCCTGATAGTGAGACTGTGCTATTAGAATCGTCCCTGCCGAACAAATATCCTAAATTGATCTAGTCCCATTTGCCAGCATTTGGCCCATATCCCTCCAAACTCTTCCTGTTCATATACCCATCCAGATGCCTTTTAAATATTGTAATTGTACCAGCCTCCACCACTTCCTCTGGCAGCTCATTCCATACACGCACCACCCACTATGTGGGTGCCCCATTGATCCCTTTTAAATCTTTCCCCTTTCACCTTAAACCTATACCCTCTAGTTTTGGACTCTCCTACCCTCAGGAAAAGACCTTTGACTATTTACCCTATCCACGCCCCTCATGATTTTATAAACTTCTATAATGTCATCCCTCAGCCTCTGATGTGCCAGGGAAAATAGCCCCAGCCTATTCAGCCTCTCCCTGTAGCTCAAACCCTCCAACCCTGGCAACATCCTTGTAAATCTTTTCTGAACCCTTCCAAGTTTCACAACATCCTTCCTATAGAACAGAGACCAGAATTACACACAGTATTCCAAAAGTGGCGTCACCAATGTCCTGTACAGCCACAACATGACCTCCCAACTCCTATACTCAATGCACTGACCAATAAGGTCAAGCGTACCAAATACCTTCTTCACTACCCTGTCTACCTGCGACTCCACCTTCAAGGACCTATGAATCTGCACCCCAAGGTCTCATTGTTCAGCAACACTCCCCAGGACCCTAACATTAAGTGTATCCGTCCTGCCCTGGTTTGCCTTTCCAAAATGCAACACCTCACATTTATCTCAATTGAACTCCATCTGCCACACCTCAGCTCATTGGCCCATCTGATCAAGGTCATGTTGTACTCTGAGATAACATTCTTCACTGTCCATTAATTTTGGTGTCATCTGCAAACTTACTAATCATACCTCCTATGTTCATATCCAAATCATTTATATAAATGACGAAAAACAATGGACCCAGCACCGATCCTTGTGGCACACCGCTGGTCACAGGCCTCCAGTCTGAAAAGCATCCCTCCACCACCACCCTCTGTCTTCTACCTATTGTATAAGAATTTTGTTCATTTTTTAATGAGATCACCCCTCATTTGTCAAACCTTTAGCAAATACAGGCCCAGGTACGGTGGATACTGGAAATCTGAAACAAACACAGAGGATGCTGGAGAAACTCGACAGGTCCAAAGCATCCATGCAGAAAGAAACAGAGCTAATGTTTCAAGTCTGATTTAATTCTTCTTTAGAACCCAACCCAAATATTCAGATCTCTGAACAGGAGTCATACTGGACTCAAAATGTTAACTCTGCCTTCTCTCCACAGATACTGCCAGACGTGTCAATTCTCTCCAGTTTTCTCTGCTTTTGTAACAACATAGCAGTTTAGATTCTCCACTTTCTTCCTGTTGTCCACAGAGAGAAGAGCAATGAGGAAATGGTTCCAGTCTGTTGATTATGGAGGAGAGAAAACCGAGAGGAGGAAATTGGCCAGAATCAGAGGGTGAGACAGGACAATGAAGGAAAGCTCAGGGAACATGTAGTGACTCATCATCAAGGAGAAGGTCAGAGAGACGGTCTGGGTGAATGGGAGAAAACACTTGAGGTGGAGCAACAGGGGGTGGAACGGACAATGCTGAGGAATAGATCAAAACTCAGTGAAATTGAGTATTGACCTGCACAGTCTGCTTATGGCACAGCAAGATCCCAGCCATGGTGGTTTTCTTTGACTCGCTCCTCCTCTGATTGACCGGGAACTCAATGACTTCAATGACCTCAGTGATGACCGTCTCAGTCACTTCTTTGATTTCAGTCACTTCTTGTCCAGTCACTGTTTGCCAAGACCGTCCAGTCCCACATTCACATCTGCAATTCCTTCCCATCGACAGCCAGAACTGATGGAGAGAATCATGTTTAATGTTGGAGATATCATCTGTAACTATCTCTAATTTGCTGATCTCCTTTGATTCTCCGTCACTCTGTTTGGTCATTGATCCAATGTCTCGACAGGTCCAAGCACTAGTGAGCTTCTCCAAATCATCACTGCTCAGCTTCAGGCCATTGTGCTCATTCCCAGGCACTGTTTGACGTCCCGGTTTGTGAATGTCAGAAGGTTCTGGCAGCAGCCGAGCCTGGCAGTGATTACTTTCATGTCCAAGGCACAGTGACTGACTGGAACAACCACCCATTTGTTACTGTGACTGCAGAGGCAGTAATCCTTCAGCAGCCCTGTGCTCCCAAACCTTCTGCCTGCAATTAAACAAAGAAATATTCAAGATATAATCACACAGCACTGACAGAGACCATTCAGCTCATTTGGATTGGTGTTGGGTCTTCTGAAAGAGCCACTCAACCAGTTCCACTCTCCTGCCTTTTCCCTGTTGCCCTACCGTGTCCTGTCATCAGACGATCGTTCAATGCTCTTGATTGGCCCTAACCCACCACACCTTCTAGCAGTTCATTCAGGCCATCCAGCCCCTCGAGCCTGCTCTCCTTTTCAATACAGTCAAGGCTGATCTGATTGGTTCGTCAAATCCTCACATGACTGCCACCCACTTGTTTAACAAGAATCTCTCTCCCTCGGCCTTAAAACTATTTAAGGTCTCTGCTTCTACCACCTTTTCAGAGAATTTCAAAGACTCATGATCCTCCAAGAGAATTATTTTTGCCTTATCTCTGTTTTAAATCAGTGCTCCCTTATTTTTAAACAGTGACCCCTAGTTCTGGGTTCTCCCACAAGAAAAATCCTGCCAACCAGAAAAAAGACACGATTATTCCTCTCAGAGATAGTAGGAACTGCAGATGCTGGAGAATCCGAGACAACAAGGTGCAGGGCTGGATGAACACAGCAGGCCAAGCAGCATCATAGGAGCAGAAAGGCTGACGTTTCGGGCCTAGACCCTTCATCAGAAAAGGGGGAGGGGAAGGGGGTTCTGAAATAAATAGGGAGAGAGTGGGAGGCGGATAGAAGAGGGATAGAGGAGAGGATAGGTGGAGAGGAAGCAAACAGGTCGAAGAGGCGGCGATGGAGCCAGTAAAGGTGAGTGTAGGTGGGGAGTTAGGAAGGGGATAGGTCAGTCCAGGGAGGACGGACAGGTCAAGGGGGCGGGATGAGGTTGGTCGGTAGGAGATGGAGGTGCGGCTTGGGGTGGGAGGAGGGGATAGGTGGGAGGAAGAACAGGTTAGGGAGGCAGGGACGAGTTGGACTGGTTTTGGGATGCGGTGGGGGGAGGGGAGATTTTGAAACTTGTGAAATCCACATTGATACCATTGGGCTGCAGGGTTCCCAAGCGGAATATGAGTTGCTGTTCCTGCAACCTTCGGGTGGCATCGTTGTGGCACTGCAGGAGGCCCAGGATGGACATGTCGTCTGAGGAATGGGAGGGGGAGTTGAAATGGTTCGCGACTGGGAGGTGCAGTTGTTTGTTGCGAACCGAGCGTAGGTGTTCTGCAAAGCGGTCCCCGAGTCTCCGCTTGGTTTCCCCGATGTAGAGAAAGCCACACCGGGTACAGCGGATGCAGTATACCACATTGGCAGATGTGCAGGTGAACATCTGCTTGATGTGGAAAGTCTTCTTGGGGCCTGGGATGGGGGTGAGGGAGGAGGTATGGGGGCAGGTGTAGCACTTCCTGCGGTTGCAGGGAAAAGTGCCGGGTGTGGTGGAGCTGGAGGGGAGTGTGGAGCGGACAAGGGAGTCACGGAGAGAGTTGTCCCTCCGGAAAGCAGATAAAGGTGGGGAGGGAAAGATGTCTTTGGTGGTGGGGTCGGATTGCAGATGGCGGAAGTGTCGGAGGATGATGCGTTGGATCCGGAGGTTGGTGGGGTGGTACGTGAGGACGAGGGGGATTCTTTTTTGGTTTTTATTGCGTGGACGGGGTGTGAGGGATGAGGTGCGGGAGATGTGGGAGACACGGTTGAGGGCGTTCTCGACCACCGAGGAGGGGAAGTTACGGTCCTTGAAAAACGAGGACAACTGAGATGTACGGGAGTGGAATGCCTCATCCTGGGAGCAGATGCGGCGGAGGCGAAGGAATTGGGAATAGGGGATAGCATTTTTGCAGGAAGGTGGGTGGGAGGAGGAGTATTCTAGGTAGCTGTGGGAGTCGGTGGGCTTGAAATGAATATCGGTTTCTAGGTGGTTGCCCGATATGGAGACAGAGAGGTCCAGGAAGGGGAGAGAGGTGTTAGAGATGGTCCAGGTAAACTTAAGGTTGGGGTGGAAGGTGTTGGTGAAGTGGATGAACTGTTCGAGCTCCTCGTGGGAGCACAAGGCGGCGCCGATACAGTCATCAACGTAACGGAGGAAGAGGTGGAGTTTGGGGCCGGTGTAGGTACGGAAGAGGGATTGTTCCACGTAACCTACAAAGAGGCAGGCGTAGCTTGGGCCCATGCGGGTACCCATGGCCACCCCCTTTGTCTTTGGAAATGGGAGGAATTGAAAGAGAAGTTGTTGAGGGTGAGGACGAGTTCGGCTAAGCGGATGAGGGTGTCAGTGGAGGGGGACTGGTTGGGCCTGCGGGACAGGAAGAAGCAGAGGGCCTTTAGGCTATCTGCATGGGGAATGCAGGTGTAGAGGGACTGGACGTCCATGGTAAAGATGAGGTGTTGGGGACCGGGGAATTGGAAGTTCTGGAGGAGGTGGAGGGCGTGGGTAGTGTCGCGGACGTAGGTGGGGAGTTCCTGGACCAAGGGGGAGAAAATGGAGCCCAGATAGTTCGGTGGGGCAGGAGCAGGCGGAGACAATGGGTCGACCAGGGCATTCAGGTTTGTGGATTTTGGGAAGGAGATAGAAGCGGGCAGTGCCGGGTTGGGGAACGATGAGGTTGGAGGCCGTGGATGGGAGGTCACCTGAGGTGATGAGGTTGTGGATTATTCCTCTTCTGTTTTCTGCCATCCAGCCAATCTTCTCTCTGATATGTTACCCCCTAACACCATGAGATTTTATTTTCCCCAATAACCTTTAATGTAGCAACTTATCAAAAGACTTCTGGAAATCTAAATACAGAACATCCCCGGGTCCCCTTTATCTTCAGCACAGGTTACAAACGCCAATAAACTGGTCAAATATGATTCTCCTTTCATTAAACCATGTCAACCCTGCTTGATTACCTTGAACTTGTCTTAGTGCCTGTTATCATGTCTTTAGTAATAGTCACTAATATTTCCCAATGACGATGTTAAGCTAACTTACCTGTAGTTTCCTGCTCGTTGTCTCCCTTTTTTGAACAAAGGAATTAATATTCACCATGTTCCAATTTAATGGAACCTTCCTAGAGTTCAGGGAATTTTGGAAAATTAAAACCAATGCATCAACCATCCCATTGGGCACCTCTTTTAAGACCTTAGGATGGAATCCATCAGGACCCTTGTCAACACAGGTTTCTGCACTCAACGGGATCTACCTATTCAGTCTATTTCAAAATATTCCCTTAAATGCCTGCCACTGCATCTCCATTGATCTGTCCTTTAAGGTAATTTGCCAATTCACTTTAATTAGCACTGTTTTCATATTTCATATCTCCCTCATTCACATTTTTTAAATAGTCTCACCATTCATAATTCTTCCAAGTTTTGTGTCAATCTGTACATTATGAATTGTCCCCTGCACACCAAGATCCAGATCATTAATAAATATCAGGAAAAATGAGAATCCCACTACCACACCCTGAGGAACTCCAATACAAAGCTTCCTCCAGCCTGAAAAATACCCATTGCCCGTTACTCTTTGTATCCTGTCACTCAGCCAATTTTGCTAATGTCCCTTTTATTCTAAGAGCTATATTTTTTTCTATAGGTCTGTTGTGCAGCTCTGTATTAAAAGTCTTTAGAAAGTCCATGTACACCTCATCAACAATATTCCCCTTGTCAATTCACAGGCTCATAAAGCACGACTGAAGGACAATCGGCCCACCATGTCCATGCTGTTCAACAAAAATCTGATTATATTTATCTCATTTTCCAGCTCTTGGCCCATAGCCCTGGATGCAAGTGAATATTTAAATACTGCCTCAATGTTATAACAGTTTTAGACTCAACCATCATTTCAGGCAACAAGTTTCAGACTCCTGTCATCCTCAGAGTGTAAAATATTTCTACTCAAATCCCCTCT